TGTCATGAATTTTAGGGTCTCTACGTACCTAGAAAACAACGAAATTAACCCCCCACGAAAATTAGTGATTTCACAGCAGTGGATGAAGCACTCTATTTTGTGAATACATAACTTCCAATGAGTACTTAATTAATCCTTTAATATATACTCTTAATTGTAAAATGCACGCCCCCTTGGTACACCATTCAGGCCCAAAATTGAGTTAAGTTGAACATACACTGAAAATTCAATACTTATAGTTTCCTTACCCGTTCATGGCAATTTTACAAAACTGTTTGCATAACCTTGACTTTGCTTTGACAGTAAATTGGTGGAATGAATATAATTATGCAGTTGACAATGAGATTTAATATTATACAGTGTACCAAGTATCTTCTTTACTCCTTAATAAACCGTATGAATATATAATGATGAAAGACTGACTTATACATATTATGTAACATAATATTATGTAACATAAAACTTTTGTTACTTGAGTCCAGAGTTCCATGCAGTTGCAGGTGGGTCCAAAGTGGTCATGGCCTGAGAAGCTCATGACACTCAGTTGACCTTCAAGGCCCATGAGCATCAGGCCCCCATGTTTTTATTTTTGAGAGAAAAATTCCGACCTTGAACTTGTTTATTTACTGATTACTATGTACACAAATACTGATGACCAGATTAGTTAAACCTGCTTACCAGTAGTGGTCACCAGTATCCATTAGTATTACCGTATAAGTAGAATTTTTAGCGAGGATTTAATTTTGGCATTATTAGCTAGGTTGCCGAGATCGCTAAAATTGAATATTGCTAAAAATTAATTGCGTTTTATTTCTTATTTCTTAATTTGATAGCTTCTTTAATGTGAATTTTAAAATCGCTAAAAAAAACATCTCGCTAAAAATAAATAACCTGTTTTCAAGGACAAATCACTAAATTTGCATCTCGCTAATATTTCCACTTATACAGTAATTGTGCCTATTGATAAAGTTAAATTTAATGTGGAGTATCTGCACATGTATTCAATAGTGGGAAAAAATCTGAGTATTTGTGTGGGTGAAATTTTTATGCATTATTTTTAATAATTTTTTTTTATGAGAACAATGCCAGCAGTTCTTACTCATTTTTATGAAAAATACTCTATACTGGGTACGTGTACATTATTTAATTGACAGGAAAGCCCCCTACAGTTTTCAAGATACTTTAAAAGCTCAATTAATATTTTGCAGATGATTTGTACATATATAAGAAATATGCATGCTGCTTGGCTTTTGATTTTTTATGATTTTTGAAAAAGTGTCAGTTATTGAACTTTGTAATTTTATACAAAATGTGTTCCATATGTGGGTACACTATTTTTAAATGTCAGTTTCTATTGTTTTCAGATAAGAAGTTATTTTTTACAACATGTGAGAAATATGAGTACTGTTCACACAAAAGTTAACTTAATGGTTTATTTTAATGCTGTCATATATACAACTTTCTCCACTTTTCTATTTCTGTTTGGGAAGTTTAATTTATGAAGGAAAGTTGTTATATTTTATATACTTTTACCTTTTCCATGCATTTAAACATAACTCTCTGGTGAGATTAGTTATTACATTTGGAGCGGCAACTGTGGAACCCCCCTCTCTTTCACTTTCTTCTAGCAGGCCAGATGACTTTGATGGTCACATATCATTGCATACGAGGGCTGTTCAATAAATAATGTCCTGAACTGTATGACATACAATACAGATATCATATGACATTAAACTTGACTTTCTCTCATTATTGAATCTTTACTGAATTTATAACAGTTTATGTGACCACTTTTCATCACATAGTTTCATCGTGAGAAGCTGGGAAACAAGGGCTTTTTGAGACACTGCATTATAAATGAATGGTAAAGAATCAGTAAACTAGATTGAAAATAAAGGCTACATTAAAGCTGCTGTAAAACTTATTAAAAATCCCAAAGAAATATTCACTGAATTATGTGTCATTTACAGCAACCGATGCCTGTTTTATAGACAAATGAGCAGGTGGATTTCAATGATAAAAAATTATATAATGGACATCAAAAATGGGTACCCTCCTTGCCAACAAAAATTGTAACAACTTATGTATTGTTTGTCAAATTTCAACTAATAATATTTGATGATGTATGATTGACTTTAAGACACATAGCAAATTTGGTAGACATCATATCGGGAGTAGTTTACGCTGTTTTTAAGAAACATTTGGCAGTAAAAAAGCTTGGTACTCAAAGGTCACCCTATATTTTGAAAAATGAGTGAAAAAGACAGTGTGTACGAAAGTCTTAACAATTATTTTAAAATATCAGTAATTGTAGTTATCCACATTTGTTTTATATTCAAACAGATATTGGAACATGAATCTATTGCTTAAAATCATCAAAACAAAATTTATCATAAGATGTACTTGATAAAAACGGCAAAGGTCTGACAAAAGCAAAGGTATGCCAGAGCACAAAGACAGATTTATATACAATTTTCTTAAATATTAGTGGTATTGTTGTTCAAATTCGTATTTGGGGAGACAGTTTAATATCTGGAGGAGTCTGGAAAGCAATTTTTTTTGCAAGAAAATCGAAAGGTTTATTAGAGGAAGGACCCAGAATCAGGAATCCACTACAATGAATTTCTTCACGACAGCGTCCAAACCCGCATGCCCTGAAGAGTAAAGGGGTTTTTGGGATAAACAGAAAGTTACTGTTTTTTCACATTAACAATATTTGTCAGATCTTTGACCTTTTGACTTGTTTCTATTTCCAAACTTGAAAAAAAACACCTTTCTGAAGGAAGTCCAGGGAATCATTGGATCTGCCATTTTCCAGTATACTAAGGGTTATACCAAAAAATGAGTTCTAAAAACAATCAGAAATTGGATAAAAAATGTTACAGACATGTGTTGGAATTAAAAGAGATTAATAAGTAAAATCATGAAGACTAAATCATTGAAAAGCGTCATTTGCTTCTTTCTGAGCACCGAGGACATTATTTATTGAACAGCCCTCGTACATTTGAAATATATAATTTGCATGTCTTCAGATTGATGTGGGTTTTACAGAAGACTTATTGACTACCCACAGTAAGATATATATAATATTTTATGTATAAATGTTACAGATAGCTGATATACTGGATGGGGAGGAGAGTCTTAACCTGACAACCACTACACTCAAAAGATGTAAACAACAGGTACTCAGACCCTACTGGAGACTTCTCATGTTTGTAAGTATTCTGTTAACTCTCACTGACCGTTATCTATATATACATTAATAATTAAAAAGATTGGATTGATCAGTATTTCAAACAAAAATTAAAATGATAAATAATGTACCAACTGTAATTAATACTCATATAGTATTATAATTAACAGATGATGGAATAATTCACATATTGTCTGTTATTTTGGCAGTATGATACAGATAGAGAATGGATTAGCCACCTGGACATATCTTGTTGTCACTCTTGTGTGTTCATCCTAACATATCTATATTTATATACATTTTAGATAGGATGGAGGGGGTTCGGCAGAGAGTCAGTGAACTTTGGCAGTAAGAGATGGACTGTGTTAAATGTTGTGTACCCTGTGTGTGTCGTGTGTTTGTTATTATATACCTATGTTTATGAAATTGTTGCTTGTCAGTGGAAGCTTGATCTTCACAAGGATACTCAGGTAAAGGGACATTACTCTAATTGACCTCAGAATATATTTCATCATGTCTTAATGTATGTTTTTTAGCTCCCCACCCCACCCCCTTCTTTTATTTTCTATTTTCCTCCATTAAACTCTGTTATTTAATTAAGATCAGTATAAAAGAAACTGTTCAAAACTATTTTTGTTTAAATTCATAAACTTCTTATTGTTTATATTAATGAGAGCTATTCAATCATGTCAGAAGTTTCTGTCCTTCACTATATAGACTAACCTATCAAGTTTCAAACAATGTAGTTGAAATTGTCCATATATTTATGTCTACATATCCACATGTGTGTGTTAATTCATAACCACATTAAATTCAGGTTGCTACCACCCCAATCACTACATCTCCAGTATCACCAGAGGTTGATAACAGTACAGCAGCTACAGAGGGGGGTCTCGTAACACTCTCCCTCCCCTTAATAAAGAATCTCACCAGCATGCGCAAGATTGGCCCAGCGGAGCGCCCCGAGGCATGCAGGCATATCATCACCACCTATGTCATTCCAAATATTCTACACTTTGTGGCGTACATTATGGGAATGATTCACTTTAGAATTCAGGAGAATGAGCAGTTATATGCCATTATGGAGAAGGTGAGTGTTCTACACATAATTGGATCACATTTTTGTACTATAAAAGGAATGGTATTTGCAGTGTATATATTTGTTCTATTTTATAAGTATGTCAATCCATTATTGCTACATTTTAAAAGTCTATATATGCAGGCAATATTTAGAATTAAATCAGTTATAAAGAGTTATATAATACTTTATTATATACCTAATGTGTATCACTCAATACTGTTGATTTTACGCTATCACTTGATGTCGTGATCCGACTTCCCGGATCACCACACTGTGGTTTTCTGAATCCATATCACCACTCTCTGAAACTGATGACACAGTACACAGAAACATGACGTTATTTTTCTTGCGCGTTAAAAAGTCCCTTATTATTTTGCCTTGTTTTATGGATAAATGTTATACAATTGATCTCTAAAGTTTTATTTTGCTATATTTTGCTAGTTATGAGGGGGTATATAATAAATTTATCATTATAACAGTAACTTGATCCAAAGAGCCATATCACTTCTCGTTGACGTTTCGCATCTCGTTAGATCTGATGGTCCGGGCCTGTCAACTTGACGTGATACCACCCTTCAGATCAACTGTTATAATAATATAAATGTATCAGTGCCTTCCTGATCTTGAACCAACATTTATTATATTTTCAGGTTTTCTTACAAGCAACACCTTCCTATAGTCGGTCAGCTTCTCAGCAAAAGATGATCAAAAAACTTAGGTTTGTATTGTCAAACAGATTGAAATACTGCATGTTATATGAGTTGACCAATGTCTTGTTTTCAGTACATGTTGAATCACTTTTTACATGCTTTATTTGACTTTTAGGATATTAATGGCAATTGGTGCTATTTGGGTGGCAATAACACTAGTCATGCAAGGCCTCTATGAGTATGCCTTTAATTTCCCACAACTTCTCTTCTTTCAAAAAATGGGGTAAGCACATTTTTTTTTCCTGAATTAATTTTCAAACCTAATGACAAAAGTGTAAATGAAAGGTGTCCACCTTTACAAAACCTTGTATTTCTCTTTCTAGGAAGAGTGTTCACTGGGTGCTGTTTAGTTTTGAATTGTTGGGGATCCTGATGTTGAATTCTGTGACTTTAGCAGTGATAGCTAACTATGTGACACACTGTGAAATGGTTCTATTTTATATACGAGGACTAGCGCTGAGATTGCACGAAAAATCTACCGAGTTGAAGGCAGCAATGAAGGTTAGACTATGTCAGTCTTGATTTCTCTCCAAAGTTTGCCTTCATTAACTATTGACATGACAAACATTTATTACGATTGTCTGAAATAACGGATTTAACAAGTATCATTAAAATACATTTTGAGAGATTTTTTTTCACAGGAAGTATATCTGAAGTATGAATTTTTGTAATGCATGCTTCAATATAATTGTTTGTTTTTATTAACAGGACATTCTTTTCATCAAACAAAATGTTGGTTTACTAAATGGTCCTGTTGCAAGAATGACGGCTCTAATATCAGTCATTTTTGCAGAGTTGACAATCATAGGTAAATTGAACTCAGATATATTTACTCAAAGTGGTGTAGTCATAATTTAATTGAATATTTATTATAGATCATTAAAAAAAATCAATACCTACAAGACCGACTGAAAATCCTAAAATTGTTAAAGTTGGCTAAAGAGATACAGAATTACTCATATAATTACAATATTTCAGGGGTCTGTATTCTTGTGTTGAACAAAAATGATTCCATAAAAGTCTGGGTCTACAGGAGTTGTTTCCCTTTGGTGTGGCTTTTCATTCTTATTGGTCCATTGTATCAGGTAATAAATAAAAAAAATAATGAATAATTTATAATAATACACATGATTTATATTTATAAAATATATTGTTGAATTATTATAATTACATTTGCAAATTATTTTAGATGTTTGCTTTTTGTTAAAAATACAGGCAGCTCGGGTAAATTCAGTGTCCATGAGAATGAAGAAGATAGCTTTAGAGATGAGAGTGTTTGGATACAAGAATTCCTCACAGTTAGAGCTGGATTCTTTCATTTTATTTGTCAGCCAAGCAAGGATGAAGGTAAAGAAAACAGTGTGATAGATCTGAATTCTCATGCAGCCATCTCTGTTTCAAGTGATTTTGATTCCCCTTTTCTCCTCACAAACCCTTGACCTATCATGCTATCAAAAGTCAGGTTTGTTTTTGTCACATGGTTTCATATACAGTGGACCCTCAAATATCCGGACGCCAGATATCCGGATGCTTCAGTATACGGACATTTTTCATCGAATCGAAATTTTAATATGTTTTTTTGTCTTGTTTAACTGGTGATTCAGGTATCCGGATGCTTCACATATCCGGACAATTTGACTGGGAACCAAAGCGTCCGGATAAATGAGGGTCCACTGTACATACAGCTTGCTTCACTGACAAAGCTAATGTTATAAAAATTAAAAACAAGCAGATATTGAGCATATTTACCTGTATTTTTTGAATCCGAAGACAATAGAGTTTAGCTGGAGAACGTAGACTACCAAAAAAAAAATATACCGGTATATATACAATGTATGGACAGACTAGAGAGCTACAGTGCCACCCAATGAAAAATGTGTGTATTAAAGAGAAAATCCTGACTTTTAATAGCATGAAAGACTAGGGCCTTTAATATGAGGAGAGTAGCAATCAGAAGCACAAAGCTAGTGAAAATATCATAAAGTGAACTTTTTAACATATTTTTTTTGGTTTTCCAAATGAAAATGGAATTAAATATGACTTTTTTTTTTACAGGCGAAGCTTTTCCATATACCCATTCTTCCACAGTATCTTATAGCTATTCTGGTATTAGGGGCTTTTATTCTACTTATCCTATTCCAAACCAGTGTGATCGGCCCTGTCAACTACTGGTTCTAATTAATGACCTAGTCAAAACAAACTAATCTTGTCAACTCTGGTCCAAATCAACAACCTAGTCGAACAAACTGGTCCTGTCATCAACCTAGTCAAACAAACTGATCCTGTCAACAACCTAGTCAAATAAACTGATCCTGTCAACTACTGGTTCTAATCAGTGACTCTTTATACAAACTGATCCTATCAACTACTGGTAAAACAAACTGATCCTATCAACTACTGGTAAAACAAACTTATCCTGTCACCTACTGGCTCTAATCAACAACATAGTCATACAGACTAATCTTGTCTTCTACTTGTTCTAATTAGTGATCCAGATTTACAAACTGGTTCAGGTAGCTACTGGTTCTGATGTCAACAACTGGTTCTAACCAATAACCCAGGTAGACATGTGGTGCCCTCTATAGCTGGTTCTTATCAACAACCCTTGCAGTAGCATAAATTGATCCTGTCAACTACTGATTCTGATAAACAACCCAGTTATAGAATTTGACATGTAAGAATTGTTCTGTTTACTACTGGTCTTATCTTCAATACAAATATAGACTGTTCTCTTGTCCTGGTTCTGACCAATGACTCTTGCAATTATACAAATATGACTGCCATTTTATTTGGCTACATTTAAATAAATAGAGCCAACAGGCTTATAATGAATATATACTTACTTACCCGTTAGAGTGTAAAATTTATTAATAAGTTATCAAATCCATGCACACCAAATAAAGTTTATAAAAAATCATACTGTAATTTTTTTTTTTCGTTGACATTTCATGTACGCTAGAAGCATTTTTTACTGTATTGTTATATTAAAAAAATATATATTGCATTATGCTAAAAGCATTTTGTACTGTATTGTAAAAGAACAGGTACTTGAATGCATGTAAGATATTATAGATACTAGAGTGAGTTTAACAAAAGTACAATGTATTATTTGATGAGGAGTAATTGTTATTCTTTGTAAGTCAAGTATTCCAGCTTAAAAGTCTTCCTCTTAATACTTTCTTTAACATTCCATTTATTGTTGATTTATTTTATATTGTTATGATATTGTACATTAGCCATTATCTTTTGAAAGGAAGGAAAAAAATGATCGTTTATCTGAGTAAATTCCTCATTGTTGTTTGTTTATACGAGCTTTATTTGAGAACACAGTTTGCCAAAGATTGTTCTGTGATATAATATTAAAACATGTTATGTATTGTTCTACTCTACTCATTATTTCCATGAATGTTAGAATTGTTCTTTTGCAGGATTTAATATGTACGTTATTATTATATTATAAATTATTTTGCAATGAGATTGTCACTCACAAGGTTTGAGTTCATTAAAACTGTCTCTGCTGTTTCTATATATATCATATATACATGTTACTTACTTAGTTAAAATTGTCTTTTCCTTATATATCAAAGGTAGATATTTAATTGTTCTCCATTTGTCATACAATTTCCTACAGTTGCTTATGCATATATGTGTATATTTTCAAGGGTTACTTTGGAGGACAAGGCCCTCACAATTTGCATATTTTCTATACTAGGATTATATTGAAACAAGTAATAGAATTTTCACAATGGCAAGAAGTTGTATTATTGTATTGTTATTGTGTTGATCAAATGTTGAAGGTAAACATATCACACTTGTGCAATAATGAATGTTGTTATCTAATTAAAATAAAGTTACTTTCTTTTATGGAAAGAATGAAGAATCATGATGGAGATTAAAAGTGTTATAGAACTTTGTCACTGGATATTTTCGTTGGGATTCTATAGATTTTGCAGTAGTGCTGTAGTTAACAGCTGGTAACTGTCAATTTATGAAAACATGCCTGTGAATCAGGAGACTAGTTCCTGGATAAATTGTACTTGTGAGTACATTTCTTTATTGAATTTAAAGGACAAGATAGGGTAAAGCCCGTTTTTGGCCCCTGATTTTTTTGTGTCTTTCGGATTGATGTAACAGTTTATACATAAAAACTTGTTATCATCCCTGACACAAAATAAGTATTGGTTCTAAATTTTGGAATACACAGAGGTCACAGAGAGGTCAGAAAATAGGTCAATCTTCGAATTTTCTTGTTTTTATGCAATTTTCATTGATTTTACATCATATTTCGTTTTGAAAAACAGAGCACAAGCTTGCCTATCTACCAAATTTATATATTTTATCAACTAGTATCAGATGTTTTATGTGTAAAAATCTCAGATAGGCAAGCTTGTGCTCTATGTTTTCCGAAGAGAAAAGTATCTGAAATATGATGAAATTCTACCAGAATTGAGGAAACATCTATAAAATGCCCTACTTCTGCACCCTCTTGTGGCTTCCATGTAAGCTTTGAATCTGAATTAGTGCTGATTTTAAAGCAAGCATTATTTTAAGTTCTTAATTACAAACTATTACAATTTTTTCCAGCGTTCTGATTTTTACATCAAATAAGGGGCCAGATTTGGTTGTTACCCTACCTTGCCCTTTGATGAATTTCATAGGTTCTGTCCTCACATTTTTGGTCAATATAAAGATCATTTCTTGGGGGGGGGGATGCTGTTTAACTCGGGCATACCCAAGGAAACGTTTGGTTCCTTCAATAAGAAGGGTTTTTTAAGAGCATATGTTCTTATGTATCAAATCAACTGAGAGAAATAAAACCAGTATGTAGGTGATAAGGGGTGTAAAGGAAGTTGACGATTTAAAAGTTAAAATCATCACATCATAAAGCTTTGTTAGGTAACTAGAACCGCCTTTTTAGCTCACCTGAGCCGAAGGCTTAAGTGAGCTTTTCTGATCACATTTTGTCCGTCGTCCGCCTGTCCGTCCGTAAACTTTTCACATTTTCGACTTCTTCTTAAGAACCACTGGGCCAATTTTGACCAAATTTGGTACAAAGCATCCTTGGGTGAAGGGAAATTTAAATTGTTAAAATGAAGGGCCAAGTCCCTTCACAAGGGGAGATAATTAAGAAAAGACAAAAATAGGGTGGGGTCATTAAAAAATCTTCTTTTCAAGAACCACTGAGCCAGAAAAGCTGAAACTCATGTGGAAGCATTGTGGGATAGTGTAGATTCTAAATTGTTCAAATCATGACCCCCGGGGGTTGGGCGGGGCCACAATGGGGAATCAAAGTTTTACATAGAAATATATAGGAAAAATCTTTAAAAATCTTCTTCTCAAGAACCACTGTGCAAGAAAAGCTGAAACTTATTTGGAAGCAACCTTTGGAAGTGTAGAAGCTAAATTGTTCAAATCATGACCCCTGGGGGATGGGCGGGGCCACAATGGGGAATCAAAGTTTTACATAGAAATATGTAGGAAAAATCTTTAAAAATCTTCTTCTCAAGAACCACTGAGCCAGAAAAGCTGAAACTTATGTGGAAACATCCTCAGGTAGTGTAGATTCTAAATTGTTCAAATCATGACCCCCGGGGGAGGGGCGGGGTCACAATGGGGAATCAAAATTTTACATCAAAATATATAGGAAAAATCTTTGAAAATCTTCTTCTTAAGAACCACTGTGCCAGAAAAGCTGAAACTTATGTGGAAGCATCCTGGGGTAGTGTAGATTCTAAATTGTTCAATTCATGACCCCCGGGGGTTGGGCGGGGCCACAATGGGGAAATATATAGGAAAAATCGTTGAAAATCTTCTTCTTAAGAACCACTGGACCAGAAAAGCTGAAACTTATGTGGAAGCATCCTGGGGTAGTGTAGATTTCAAATTGTCTAAATTATGATCAGTGGGGTAGGGTGGGGTCACAATATGTATTACAAGGGGGGAATCTAGTAAAGAACAGAATGGTCAAAGCTTCGCAGGTGAGTGATGTGGCCCATGGGCCTCTTGTTCTTCAGTACAGCCAACAGACCCCCTGCCTTCTAGCCCCCCCCTCCCGTTACGAAATTTCTGGATCCGCCTCTGAATAAGAAAGGAAATAGGTGAACAAGGGGTACAGGAAGCCAACAAGTTTCAGATATATTAAAATATACATTATTCAAATTGTAAATTTAGAGTAAAATTCACATTATTAAAATCATGGTAAATAAAGCTTTTCTGAGGAAAAATTTTCTCGGTGAAAATTATTCTTTTATTATAAAATTATGTGAGATTCGAACCCTAGAAAAGAAAATCCAGAGTATCATTTTCCTTGAAGACAAGTCCTGAACAATAGTGGCATTTGAATCATGTTTTTCATATGACTCTTGACTAAATGGAGTTTATTTTTCTCGGAAAGATGCGAATATTGTGTCACAAAACTATATAATAAAAGTGTATTTTTGAGCCAAGACCTACAGCAAAGTCTACGTTTTAAGGTAATTAATGGGTCTTTGCTCCATGCTACTCAAAATGTGTATTTTTGCACATATTTCATAAGCATTTTACTCAGAATGTTCGCCCATCTTCTTTATAGTCTTTATGGTAAACATTACTTTACCTTTGCCTGAAAGATACATAATTAGTATTAGAAACCTCTTTTTTTCAATTATATTATTGTTATTTATTAAATATATATAAGTCAAAACTCTACAGAAATATATTAAAAAATGAAAAACAATATTTACACAGTAGACAAATATTTAAATGAAAATATTAATTGTCCATATCTGCTCAAGTTCAATTTATTCTCCCAAACTAAAATATTGGTACACGGGGTACAATAAAACATATATACATTTGCTGCAAAACAGTGAAAACTATAATTATACAGCAAGTAATCAGGTTTAATCTATCAAAAATAGTCTACAAAATTAAAAACCCATAATTAAACAACATAAAACTGTTGAATAATCAAAAACATTATTTAACGTACAGTTTTTTTTAAAGTACTAAGATCAGACATTTTTCTTCTTTGTTGATTTTATCCGCTATTCTGGATCAGCATCTTGCACCAAAAACCACCAAGTATAGCAAACAACAGGAATAGTCCATCTGAAAAATAAACGGCGAATTATTGTTTTGTCGTTCCCCCTATGAAAATCCACCATCAACTCCCCCGAGTATTATATGTATTCTTGTTCTTAAAAAATAA